CTCCCCCCTCCCCCACAAGCATTCATTTCTGGTTGTTAACTTTGAGAGGGATCCCTCTAGTGGTCAACCTATACAATACCCTGTGGGAACAGTGCACTGAAAAGCTAATGTTTGTAGCTACCTCCAGTAGGGAGGGGAAGGTGGGCGATGATTGTGAGGGGGTTGGGGCTGGACTAAGGTCTTTGCTTTCCTGGCAATGTAATATGTTGGGTAACAAAAGATTGAAAGTAATGGGGAATGACCAGTTCTCCACTTAACAAAGGCAATGCTTGCCTTCAGTACTTGTGTAACTATCAGAGGATAAATGATGATGGTAAAGAAAATAGTTAGCTTAGAAAATAAAAATAAATAAAAACTGCCTGCTGGTGTGACTCAGTGGTTGAGTGTCGACCTATGAACCAGGAGGTCACAGTTTGGTTCCTGGTCAGGGCATGTGCCCAGGTTGTGGGCTCCATCCCCAGTAGGGGGCGTGCAGGAAGCAGTCAATCAATGATTCTCATCAATGATGTTTCTATCTCTCTCTCTCTCCCCCTCTCCCTTCCTCTTGGAAATCAATAAAACACATTAACAAATAAATTAAAATAAATAACCAAAACTTCTTTGTACGTGCCCGGCTCAGGGCTAAGCTGAGAGAAGGTACTACCATCATTCTCCTTGGCCAGGTTGAGTGACTTTAGTACAGAAGTCAGCCCATGGGCCCTGAGCAAGCCTGTCTGTGCCCCACACCACCCTCCTCCTGCACTACCCCTCATTCACCACGGATGGCTGCCCCCGCATCCCGTAGCTCCCCACACTTTGATAGAGGAAAACCCTGTTAAAACGAAGGTCAAGGATCATTGAAAAGGGAAGAAAAGAGGAAGTTTTCACCAAAAGACACCGTGAGAACTATCAGGATTAACTTTGACTCAGAATACAAATTCCAAAATAACGGCGACTTCAAGACAAAAATTGTTGTCTTTTCCTTCCTCATGTGAAAGTGTAAAGGTAAGCAATTCAGGCTGGAGCAGTGGCTCCGGTCCTCAGAGTCCCTGTGGTCCAGCCTACTTCCAGATCACTATACTGCCACCCTTAGGAAGCGGTTCTTATCTCCAGGGTCCAAATGGATGCTAGGACTCCAGCCATCTCCCAGGCAATCGGGTAAAGAAAAGCGCCAAGAGGTGAGGAGCACATGCTAGCTCCTTTTACGGAAGTGATCTGGAAGCTGTGCCACTCTTCGAACAGGTCCTTGTCCAGGAAAATCACATGGCCCCGCTGGACGCAAGGCAGGCTGGGAAGTTCTGGAAGCCAGGTGATGGAGTGTGTCTGCTGGGCAAGGATGGTGGGTCTCAGTCCCAGTTAAGCACCTTGTCTTCTTTTCACCTCATCCTCTGCCTCATGGTGTCCCAAACCTAAATATGGCAACACGCCATCACCCGCGTCTTCCAGCAAGGTCTGCAGTTACATGGGAGCCTCGCTGCTCTGTTTACTGCCAGGGGCTCGGGTTCAAAGAGCTCCCTCTTACTTACAGCCCAGGCTAGGACTGTGCAGAAGCCTTCAGAATCAGCCCTTTATGCACACATTTGGCAAACATTTTCTGTAAAGGATCAGATCATAAATATTTTTGGCTTTGCCAACCGTATAGTCTGTTGCAACTACTCAACTCTGCCATTGTAGAGTGAAAGTAACCACAGACAATATGTGTGATGATGACATATTTCAATAAGACTTTATTCAGGGGGCACTAACATTTAAATTACATATAATTTGTAGATGTCATGAAACATCATTATTCTTTTTATATTTTTTCAACCATTTCAAAATGTAAAAAACAACTCCCATCTCCCGGGCCAAGCAAAAACATGTAATAGGGCAGATTTGGCCCACAGACTACACCTTAAGAGAGGAAGTTGTAGGATAATCATTATGACCCTATAGATTATCCTGCCATATAGAAATGACATCATAAATGACTAGGTATGGCACTGAGGTAAGCCCTACATAGAATCCTCACACGAGCCCATGAGTGGGTCAGATTATGAGTCTGCTTTTACAGATGAGGAAACTGAGGCCCAGACAATTTCCTGTAGTGACACCCTGTAGTGTAGCTCACTGGCCACATGCTGCAAGGGGATACAGAGGCAGTTGCCTGCTCAGAGGACCGTGATGGTGAAGGGTAGACACTGGGCCCAAAGCCCTGGGTTCAAATCCTCATCCAGGACTTGAGCAAATGGCAGGACTTTTCTGAACCCTATTTCTTGGCTGAAAATGGGGATAATGACATTACCTGTTTGGGGGAATTGCTGGTAAGATATATGTGAGGTGCTTAGCCTGTGCCAGGCGTGATTGTCAAATACAGGTCCACGAGTTTACTATGGGATGAGGGGCAAAGAGTGACTGGACCATGAGGAGGCAGAAATAAAGGGTCTATGGGGACTTTGTTCAGTATCCAAATACTGAGAAAGAAATGCTTTGGCCTGGGCTGGTGGGAGGAAAGGGCCAGGGCAACTGAACTCACTTTCCTGAGCTCCCACCCATGTCCTCTGCTAGGGGTTGGGAGGGTTGCAGAGGCCAGAGCAAGGAGCTGCCCATCAGTGGAGGATAAAATACAGCAGGACTCGTCACTCCTGCCTCCAGCCCTGCTCAGTCACATTCACAAAGACCCCGCTCAGATAACAAAACCCCCCAATCACAGCAGACAAGACCCTGGGAGCTCGTGCCCCACCACATCAGGGCTTGAGAATAATTGTATTAAGTATGTATTTCGTGAAGCACTGTCCCAGAAGTGATTTGCACACATTCCCTTGTCCATTCCTTCTAACAATCCCCAGGGAGGCACTACCAGCCCCAACCTACAGGTGAGAAAACTGGGCTCAGAGCAGTTAAGTAACTCGTAGTCATGCAGCAGAACCAGGATTACAGCCCACACCTTCTATCCAGTGCCCACATTCTCGCATCGCACCGTCCC